CCGCATCTTAGACACAACAGTTGGTCGGCATCGACTGTTTATGAAATACAGTCGTATTACTGAATGTAAAACCTTCTTTAATGTCGGATAGCAAGGCTGACGGATTGTCAAGAGGTTGAGATACAAGGAGGGCTTGATGCTTGAAGGCTCATTTGTTGTTAATTATCGTTCATAGTTGTTATAATAACTAGTAGGGCTGGTCCCAATAGCACTTTCTGCTATTTGGATATTCAGGCCCAATTAATGATGAATATCAGAATATTCGGCGCGGTCGGGGGACACTTCTACCCCGGGGCAGCGCTCTGACGGGGTGGAAGTGGCCGAACACACAGTCAGTACTTGGCTGCTGATGCTAGTTTAGTTAGCGGTCACACTTCTGTTTCCACCATCGGTGGTGGTGGTGGGGGAGTGGCAGATACGCTCCACCGTTACCATCCATGTTTACTTCCGTAAACACTGAGCACGCTCACTGTGTGTGACGTCGTCGTGTCCTCTTCTGCGCATGCGGGACACTTTTGGGTCGTATGAAGTTCACACAGCGGATGGATGGATGGATGGATGGATGGATGGATGGATGGATAGATAGATAGATGGATAGATGGATAGATAGATAGATAGACAGATAGATAGATAGACAGACAGATAGACAGATAGATAGATAGATAAATAGATAGATAGACAGATAGACAGATAGACAGACAGATAGACAGACAGATAGACAGATAGACAGATAGACAGATAGATAGATAGATAGATAGATAGATAGATAGACATTTATTGTCATATGCACAGCATGAAAACAGCAGTTTAGCACTGGATGAATGAAATTGTCTCGTTTGCACATTCCCATATACATAATAATAAAACTATTTTTTTTTTTTTTTAAATGTATAAAAACAGACAAACAAAAAATGAAGCAATAATATAAATAGATACAAGGGAATAAAAAAGAGACAGAAACTAAGGTGCATAAAGACTATTTACAGGTAGCAGCATCACATACAAGTCGCATTTAACTGGAAATGTGAACGAACTTGCAAAAAAAAAAAAACGATTACACAAAAACATCCGAATGTAGCATTAAGTCCTGCAGTGTGAACGTAGCCAATCTGTGGGATTGTTCAGTCAGATAATACGCCGTTATCCTGATTGGTGACATAAAATGTCATGTTGGAGTCAGAATCCAAGGCTGTCGCTATGTTAAGGCTGTTTTTAAAGGGTTCTGTTTTTCCTAAAAACCTGTCAGATAGCAGGTTTAGGATTGTTAAGGGTCAGATTATTGAGTCGTGACTATACTAATAATTGGTTTAACTAACTAGCACCTCTGGATTAGTGACACTTAATTGCACAAACCTCGCTGAATTACTGTTATATGCCAACAGAGTGTGGTTGCTTTAAAGAGAGGCTATAACTGATGATGGATAAGTACCTTTTACAACCTTTAAAGCAGGAGAATAAATGAAGCTTTAATAGTCATCCGACCACATTTCGGAGCTCAACGTTTATAACTGCTGTGAACTCAAAACTGGTGATTAGATTGTCAGTTTCGGTTCATTTCACGTCATCAGCTGAATGTTTTTGCACATCAAGTCGTTCTGACATGTCTCAAGTCTGCAGCTCTGATTGTGACACTTTCATGTGTCCTGCTCCTGTGTGTGGGTTTCAGGCCTGATTACAATAATTATCCTTCTGTCCAGTGAGTTTAAACACATTTAACTCACTCACACTCGCCTGTCTCAACCTAATAATAGATCAGCTGTAATGTGGATGTGGACTAATGCCTGAAGTTACCACTAAACCTCACCAATGAAATCCTACCTTAGAAATGAAGACATCACTCCTAATGTGTGTCTTCCTGTTTAAAAGGGGTTTTTCTTGCCCACTGACTGACTCAGTTTTGCGACTCGCCTCAGGGCCTCAACCTGCAAACCAAACCGTTCAGATGTCATTATGCATAATTTTAATGTTTTATTTAATTTCTCTCCTCCCTTCATCAATCACATGCATATGAGGTGGGTTTAAATTAATCACCTAAAGCTTGTGGCTAAATCCAGATTTGCTTGTTTTTTTTAATATATGAATTTTAGATGTATTTTTATAAAGATGAAAAGGATTTCGTTCTATGCTGAATGATACGCTGTCTTGCATCTCTTTTCATCTGTACCACTTCTCTTACACTGAAATCTGTGGAAATTGTCGATTGTGTGCAGCGTCAGGAATGAATAATTTATCACACAATCAGCCATGGAGCTTACATTGCAATTAATTTAAACTCCCATGATTCACCCCTCGTTCAAACTCCAGCATGTGCTCGACGCAGTCTCATTTTCTCTGTCAGCATTAATTTTCTGTGTCTCACCTTTTCTAATATCATGTTTTAGACGTGTGTGACACAACAACAAGAGCTTTTGTTTCAACCATAATACTTGAACATACAGAACCTCTTATAAACCATCAGTCTGGCTTCTTTCTAAGGCGATTATTATTCTGTACCGGCTGAACGCTGCAATTTAACCATTTCCCGTTTTTGTCTTTTGCTGGTCGTGCTGGAAGCCTCTTAACTTGAGCTCACAGTGTGATATTCAACATGTCTCTGTGGCGTAAAGCTGTTTTCTACCTTTGAAGTTTAATGAGCGATGGGCTTTGCTCTTTGGTGTCTTAAGAGCCTGTCGGAGTTACTGACTGAGTCTCACTGTATTTGTTTTTGCTTTAGCCTCTGAATGTATGGATGACGTTTTTGTTTTTTTTTCTTCGAGTAAAGCCAGGATTTACTTTAATGCAACATGAAGCAAATTTTGAGATGCATTAAACTTGTTAATTAGGAATTGACAGCTAATCAATAGATTGTTAATTTAAATTTTGAATACCGTAATGTCCAGACTATAAGCCGCTATTTTTTTCACACTTTTTGAACACTGCGGCTTAAACAATGATGCGGCTGGATTTTTACGAATTCGCCTCAAGACTAAAGTGACGTTGCAAGCAACAATGAAAGAGAGACTGAGGATATGTGTGATGAAGTAATTCAGCCGCTGTTCGGAAAAAAAAATGTACGTATTTGTGTATGTTACCGGTACGTATTTAGTTAAAGGTTTAAGAAATCTCTCTGTGTAAATATCTCATGTTACAGCGTGGACAGCTGCAGCTTATAGACAAGTGCGGCCTGTATATGTACAAAACCAGTTTTCTTTTTAAAGTCAGTGGGTGCGGCTTATATTCAGGTGCACTCATAGTCCAGAATTTACGGTAGCTTTAACTGGTTGATTGCTGGACCGTGCTGCCTTTGTTTTGTAGTTTACATGTGTATTTAATCTATTAAACTGCCTCTCTTTTTTAATGTTGTTGTACACTGTGGGGGGGGGGGGGGGGGTTTATCTCTCTTTTCTACTTTTCCTATTGCTTTTATTATTTTTTATCATTTTAAAAGCTTCCTGTGGACTTCCTGTGTTGCGAATTAGCACACGAGCTAAAACATCTGGTTTGTCCAATGTGATTGTGATGTCCACTATTTAGCAGTGAGAGTGCCAAATCACAAAAATAAATCAATAAAAGAATAATAAATTAAAGTGGAAATAAAAAGAAGAGTAAATAAAATAGTAAATAAATAATGTGGCAATTTAAGCAATATTAATCAGAAATGAATCCATAAAAGAAAAGGCTAACAAAAGTAGAAATATAAAGACAAATAAATAAAATAAGAATTAAAAAAAACATTTCTTTTCTTTTTCTTTTCCCTTTTTAATTTATTTTTTTTTCATATATTTTTTTCATTTTATTTATTTGTGAACAATAAACAAATAAGCAATCAAATTTAAATATATATATATGCATACACACACACACATATATATGTATATTCCTGTCTTCCTACTTTACACTTTGCTCTGCAATTGCAATGCTTTTTTCCCCCTTTATTTTTATTTATTTATTTATTTATTTTACACCAGCCAGTCAATGTGTTCGGTGCACAAAGCTCAGCTACATCTGAGATTTAAGCTTTTGCCATCTTTGTAACCTTAAATGCGACAGCTGGCCTCTCTCTGGCTGCCGCGCTCCTCCGTTTCTTATTAAATGTTAGTTTTTGGCATTTGTGTGTGTCATCATCAGGTCTGCTGTTAATGACAGGCCGGCTCAGTGTTAGCAGATATTGATTCGAGAGGAGTGTGGCGTGGAAACACTCATAGCCACGCCGAGACAAAAGGTCAACAGACTGGCACACATAGGTATGAAATTGATCTTATTAAGCAGCAAGGAGCAAATTCACAAACACCGAGGAGTCAAGTGGTCGGGCTGCTTCTATGATCCCATCCAATTAAAGAGCAGAAGACCTTTAGCTCGCCGGCGTTTCTAATTAACAACACTTCTGTGCCTATTTTGAGTTTCAGTCGCAGCGCAAGGTGTCGTAGCTGGTATCTCATAGTTCATTAACAGCCAGAGAAATGTGTGACAGGCAACATGTGCTACGGATTCTCTGTCAAAAAGGAAGGGACGATATGTAAGTTAGTCAGTCAGGATGAGTTAATCACACCAGAGTGAAATGGATGTGCAAGATGCTGCAGCAGTCTTATGCACGATGTTTGGATTATATATTTGAGAGGATACCACAGTAAATCAGCTTTATATGTGAAAACAATATTGAAAGCAAGGATGCACCGCGTGATTGGAAAGAAAACTAATCTGCAGCCTATGTTTCAATATAAGAACCCATTTGGTCATGTTGTATGAAGCCTGATACAGAGAAAGCATTTTATTTTTCTAGAACGATATTCTGATATTGTTTCTGTTTGCATATGACTTCCAAATCATTCACAGCAAACGTGTGAAAGATATAATAGCCTTTCTGGACCGAAATCACAGTACAGCTGAAATGCCATCATGCAGATTCTGGTGGAGTTCCAGCTCTGGATTTTCGGGCAGTCTCGCTTCTCTCATGTGGTGTTTGTTTATATTGTCCTCTCACCATCTGTCCCTGCCCTCCCTTTGTTGTATCTCTGCTCTAGGTGCAGACTCGAACAGCGAGTACAGCTCAGGGAGCGGGGTTCTCCTGTCAGACAGCAGAGAGACGTCACTGGCGGCGTCCTCGGTCCGCTCGGTGCCCGTCCAAGATAAAGGGAATCGAAGCTGCGGAGGGGGAAGCTCCAGGGGAAGCTCGTTTAAAGAGCCGGACTGCGAGCAGACCGGTGAACGGCGGGAAGGAGGAGATGAGCAGCTTCGTGGACACTCTGACCAGAAGAGCCCCGAGGCGCCCGCTCAGGAGTGGTGGGGTGTGGTCGGAGGAGAGGAGTGAACGTTCAGGGTGTTAGCTGAGGAGGAGGGAATAAAGGAAGGTGGGAAGTAGAAACTGGCTGCTGTATGTTTACAAATCTCATGAAAAGATAGAAACAACAGACTTCTTTAGCCTGGAAGCACAATTTTTCCTACAGAAGATGTTGAAGAGAATATTTTAAGAGAATATTTGTTTACTCAAATCAATTCCTAAACCAGCTCTTTTTACTTTGAGTGAACGGCGTGTTTGTTGGAGATCAAACCACATTCGTCGCTCTTGTGACGGTTTGTGGTTCCTGTAACCCGGTGTAAACGGGTTCTTTCCCTTTTTAGTAACTGAACAACAAAAGAGGTTTACATTACAAAGAAATGTGCAACGTCCGACTTAAGCTACACAGACGGGACTTGTTTCCAGGATGGGTTTTGATCTTTTCATTTGATTTGTTAAAACACGTGTTATACCATCAGACCCGTCCTTTATTCTCTGAATCATCCTTTTTAAAATCACTTTTTTATGACTGAAAACAATCCACTTGAAAGTAACCTGAGCTTCTTGAAACATGTTCAAAATGAAACAAGACGACTGAAGTGAGGATTTGTTCACCAAAGCATTTTACTTGAATATCTTCTGATTTTAACGTTTTATCTCTCTAGCTGAATCGCTGTTTTGGGGATGATCCAGTTGTTTGACGAGTATTTTTTTGCTGTTCTGAGTGAAACATAGTCTTTCTAATAACCAGAGTACTGTGCAAAAGATTTAGGTGATGCTGTAAAGATGCTCACAATTAACCGAAACAGAAAAGACCAAAATCAAATCAGCCCTTCAAACAAGATCAGTTCTTTTTCTGTGCACACATTTTCCAGGCACTAGAAAATCATTTCTGAGAACTCTCCACAGTTCATGTGTGGATTCGGACTGTCATCAGCTTCTCTTCATGTGAGCCCATCCATGATGTCGTCATTCTGCCAGAGCGTGCAGGACTGATCCGATGCCTCCCCGATGGTGTTGTGTGATGGATAAGCGTCTCCTTGTACTTCTTGGCTCACACCAAATCGCCAACTCCCATTTGTAGAAATGCAGAACCAGAACCAAACCAGTCCTTCTCTGCAGCCCTTTGGTGAAAGGCATCGCCCTCTGTTAGAGCACCAGCTGTCAGTTTTGTGCAGCCCAGTGTTTTCGTGCGCACTCGGCTCCGTTTGAAACTTTCACGTCTTCAACAAGCTCACATTTATTCCTTCTGCTCAGTTAATGGTTCAGCCTGCTTATTGAATCGTTGCTGTAATTGTTAAACTGTGTATGTTTTTAAATTTAAATCTGGAAAAGGGTCTCATACTGTGTTACTCTAACGTATAACTGGTGAGTAATGTGTTTTTGTGAAGCATCTAAAGTGCCTAAAACGTTTGCACAGTGCTGTACCTGCAGGGAAGTCAGTTCATTTCAAATGTATGTCGTGTTTCCAAAGGGCTGTAATATGGACGCTGAGAGGACTCGACCTCACAGACTGATTAATAGAGGTTTTTTTTAACAATTTCTTTTGCTGTGTTTTTTTGTACCTGGCTGTGTGTTGCAGCTTATTGATGATGAGCACATTTTAATTGAGAATATACTTCAAAGTTAATGGTGTGAATGAATGCACTGTAACTTCCTCTGACCACCTCTGAGATGGAGGATGAGATTGTGATGAGTGTGCGGCCCAGACAAGTGGCTCGACCGTTAATATCCACTGTGAGCAAAGCTGTGTGACTTTTATCCACAGTCGCTGTATATCTGGCCCCTGGCGTCCTCATGTTATTTTCACATAACCGTTATTGGCTTTTTCATTCTCTGTTGTTTTACTTTCTCAAGGTTTCTCCCGTCTGTTGTCTGTTTGCTCGGACTAATTTCTGTTTGTTTTTTTTCCCCTCTCATTCCCTGTAAAATAAATATGGCAGCTGCAGCCTGAAAGGCCACCCGATGACCCTTGTCCAGTGGTACCCACATCCTTTATCTTCCAACAAACAAGAGATCAAACCGAGCTCCTTATAGCGAGGCATTTCCACGTGGAGTGCAGGCAGTATGTCGGTGCATTATCCAAGTCGTCTTTACGTATTCTGATCTCAAGGGATTATCTAGAATATTATTGTTTGACAGAAATGAGCAATACTGTATCTGCAGACACAAGCTTTTGTCTGCCCTTCACTTGACTGCAGTAACTGATATGGAACCAAACCACAAAGGCTTTCCTTAAATATACAGCACTCGTCAAAAGTTTGGCAACGCTTAGTCATTCAGGGGATTTTCTGTTTATACTTAGTTTCCTTTTTTCTCTGCATTGTTTGAGTTTTGTGCCACGAATTATCAAATAACACATGCAATTAAGAACTTTTAAAAAAAGCACAGACACAGACTGAAACTGAAGCCCATACCTGATTTAAATTTGGCTGCCATCGCCGCTGAACTTGTCTCCTGTTGGTGCGATACAGCGCTCCCAGCACTTCTGCAACACTTTTAAAGCTCCCTGGAAGTCCTGTTATGTAAACATGTCATGCAGCATCTGCCGTGAGCGCCGAATCTCATAAACTGTGTCAAAACGGCGACCCTTTAGCTTTAATTTCATTTTGGGAAAGAGGCCAGAAACCCTGTATGTGAGCAGCGCGCTGTGGCCATAGCACAATTGGAGCATCCACACGCCATCACACCATCACCGGTTGGAGTCATTTGAGCCAAATGTTTTCCCTCAGACGCCTCAGGATCGACAGTTTGACCCAGGGGGACGGATTCACAGTACACAAGCTTGTAAACGTATGCTCCTGGTGCGCTCCTGACCTGATTCACCTTGTCCTGTTATGGAAACTGCAAATTGTTCCACTGTGACAAGTACTGGTTCTTCTCTTCGTGGTAGCTGCGTATCCACCTTTGGTCACCAGTGATGATCGTAACAGTTGGCTCTTCTCTTACTGACACAGAATTCAAACTTCTTCTCTGCTGCATTTTGGAGTTTGCGGAGAAATCGCAAACACGCACCTACCATCCATCCATCCATCCATCCATCCATCCATCCATCCATCCATCCATCCATCCATTATCTATACACCACTTAGAGACAGACAACCAAACACACTCACATTCACACCTACGGACAATTTAGAATCACCAATTAACCTCAGCATGTTTTTGGACTGTGCTGCGAGGTGGTTTGGTGGTTAGCTTCCCGGTGAGAACACCTGGGATCTTTCTGCGTGGAGTCTCCATGTTCTCCCCGTGCAGCGTGGGTTCTCTCTGGGTTCTCCAGCTTCCATCCACACTCCAGAAACATGTTGAGGTTAATTGCAACCCTAGTGAGGATTAAGCGGTGTATCGATGATGGATGGATGGATGTTTTTGGACTGTGGGAGGAAGCTGGAGAACCCAAAGAGAACCCACGCTGCACGGTAAGCACATGCAAACTCCACACAGAAAGATCCCGGCTGTCCTAACCATGACATGAACCGGGGATCTGTGAGGCAGCGGTGCTAACCACCGATCCACTGCGCACTTACCAGTGTTCACAAACACATGTGTGGCATGAATCCTGCACTGAAGTCATGTGGTCTCCTGTCTCCCTGACAGCTACTAGTTCAAGTTACCTGCTCTGTGCTCCACAAACGGTCCCAGAACTTTTTGATCACCCTTTGCGTGTTTTGTATTTTGGATTCCCCAAAGTAGCCACAGTTTGTTCACAGCTTTGCAGCTTCATTAGGTCATCACCAGGAATGGTAATCAGCCAGATGTGATTTGTCCAGAGTAAGCTGAGAAATGTCTTTTTCGATTGTTTCATGTGACTGTAGCGTTCATCGCTTCTACCACTGCGCTAACCACCGTTATGACAGTATGGTAGTATGTGGGCACTTTCCCGCCGACACTGTTGAAGATTTATTCGGAATTCAAAGGCTGGTTTGTGCTTAGCGGGGCCATCATTTGCTTTTCAACACTCTGACCCCAAACGCCCCCTCAGGCTCTGTAGGGCCTGTTTGACTAAGAAGCAGAGTGATGAAGTGCTGCATCAGATGACCTGCTGTCCACAGTCACCTGACCTACACCCAGTTGAGATTGTTTGGGATTAGTCGGACCTCAGAATAAAGAAAAAGCAGCCGGCAAGGGCTCAGCATGTGTGGAAACTCCTTTAAGGTAGGACAAGCATCGCAGGTAACAACACTCTGAAGCTGTTTTGTTTTTAGTTGAACACGTTCGTGGCTCTGTCTTTGGTTTTATTCAACAATAATGTAGTCAAAATAAAGAAATAACACCTAAATTAGTAGCTGCATGCCTGGCATTACGCCGTCAGATGAAGCGTAAGTCATCCTGCAAAGGTTACGCTATTGACCAATCAGACTGAGTTTAAGCCCAAATCTGCAGAAGAGACAGTGTTGAAGCTGAAGCCATTGTAAATGCATGAATAATGGTGAGGAATACTTTCATACAGTGTAGGTCGGGGTGGGCAATCCTGGTCCTCGAGGGCCACAATCCTGCATGTTTTAGATGTTTCCCTCTTCCAACACACCTGATTCAAATGATCAGCTCATCATCAAGTTCTGCAGAAGCCTGATAATGATCCTGATCATGTGAATCAGGTGTCTTGGAAGAGGGAACATGCAGGATTGTGGCCCTCGAGGACCAGGATTGCCCACCCCTGGTGTAGGTTAAACACCTTTCCAGCCACTATAAAGCATGCTACATTAAAAAGATATGCATTTATTCAGATGCACCACATCTCCTGACCTTCATGATGGGAGCCAGGTTTGTTATTTGGGCAACTGAAACTTGGAATAAATCTAGATTTTGGTAGATTTTATCCAGATAAACAGCTCGTTTCTCAGTAAGTCAGCTGCAATTATTGTCGTCTAAAATGCATTTTTGGATGTTTTCTGTCAGTTTCGTCTCTGAGGAAAACAATATTGCGTTCGTGGAAATGTATGAGCCGCCTAGCTGTTCATTAAAGTCATTTTTGTTGACGAGCATCCTTTAAAGCTGCTGCACTGTATGCGCTTTCTTCTCAGGTACGTGGAAACACGGGAAGAAACAAAACAGCCACGTCTCATCACTCATTCATCAGTCCGCTCCAGTGTAAAGTGGCCTCAGAGACCCAATTGGCAGAACGCTGAGCTTTTCCCTGACAAATGTTCTGAGATGATCTATAGGGTGTGTTTACATTTTTAATCTAAATGCTGATTACTCTAAAGATGGGGTTAAGTTCCCAGAGGATAAACTTAAACGAGATGGATGAGCTTTAAGTGTAAGTGCTGAAACGCTTTCTCTCTGTATAATTACCAAACCTCTCTGGAAGGAGTAAGTGCACTCGTTTCTTTGCTGCTTATACACATGAGGTGGTAACTCAAACGGTTTTATTGTGCACACAGGCGGGGCACGGGGAATGTAGTCTTAACTAGACTATAATATGCCCTCATTAATGTGATGCAGTAATAATAACAGGCGGTAAAGACTACGGGATTTATGTTCATGGCAACTTAACAAATCACTCTGGATTATTGCAATTTATTATTTTCAAAGTTTATGACAACTCCGATTGGTGAGAACAACTTCACACATAATTGCTGAGATTTGGGAACATGGTGACATCTCTAAAAATACTTGGACAAAATGCCAGCAGTGAAATGAGGATAAAGATTTTAAACAGTGTCTAAAGCCAGACAAACTGTAAATGATAATCCAGATTGTCAAATCCATCACGGTTCCAGATACTCTCTACAGAGCCGCTGTGGCTGCTCATACTTTTGTGTGCAGTGAGTGATTGGTATTGTCATTTCAAGTGTGCTCACCTTTTCTTTTGTCTCCAGATAAAGTGGCTTCGCGCTAAAGTGTTTACAGTCGCGAGCTCAGAGTGTTGGTCAGTGCAGTGACTGATAGAAATGATGCTTTCAGTGACAAAACATATGAAAATGAAGTGAAATATCCTTTAAAGCTGGGGTAGGCAGGGTTTTTCATGGCTTTGTTCAGCATATTGTAATCCAAGTGGTCTGAGAGGAAGCTAAACATCTCCACTCTCGGCTTCTCTTTGGGCAATTTTTTGTAGGTTTTCGGTGGGATTTGAGTCCCACAAACTAACTTTTAGATCGATAATCCGTCTGCTCATCTGGTGTGAGGGGTTTAGAACAGAGAGCGGAGAGAGAAGAGCTGCAGAAGGAAGCTATATATTTTTTAAAATTCTGTCAATATCTAATGTTTTACAGATTTCTGCCTGCTGCAAACTTCAAGTAAGGAAAAAAAAAAAAAACGTGGAATAGAGAGCTGAGGCGTTGTTGACCTTCCAGTCACAGGATGGTCTCTGGCCGTGTGGTAACGATGCTGTAGAAAGGGGCTTGTGCTGTTCAAATCATTACTAAACATCTATATTTCTTTCTAAAAACCAACATGGAAGAAAAACTGTATGTATTTCTGCAAGTCTACACGTTTATTTAGCAGCTTCTATCCAAAGAGACGTACATCTGAGAGTAGGTACAACACAAGCAATGATCTAGTCAGGAGGAAACAACCTGCAAAGTGCCATAAAACCA